TGAATTTATTTGTGGGTATTGCCGCTAGATGTCGCATTATCAAGCCGTCCGAAATATCGATTTTGTGTTTTCGCTGGCGTCCGGTTGTTTACATCGGCGCTTCGATCGATTCGGAGTTGGCCCCAAAGGAGTCTCCCCCCTTAAATGGTTGTCCCAGTCGATCGTTCAGTGAATTTGAAATCAGTCTGATACCAGAGAAGAAATGGATGTCAAGGCGCAGGAGAAACAGAATGAGATTGTACGTCGGAAAATGCTTGACGTACGGGATATGAAAATAATGGAATGTCCAACGGACTCACCGTGGATCAGACCCATTCGGCTGCATTATCAACAAGATGGCGAACGAAGGGATTGGGACGTGGTGAAGGTGCACGACGGCGTGAGCGTGATTATTTTCAACACGAGCAGGAAGAAACTTGTATTTGTCAGACAGTTCCGTCCAGCTTTCCTGTACACGATTCTACCAGAGGCATGTGGACCGGTAGATTTGGAAAAGTATCCGCCTAAGTTGGGTTTGAGCTTGGAGCTCTGTGCCGGTATCGTAGATAAGGATCAGCCACTTGTCGAGATCGCGAGAGACGAACTCAGAGAGGAATGCGGATACGAAGCACCTGCAGAAACTTTTAAATTTATCAATACTTTTCGGTATGTCAATGAGATTAGTTTGCTAGAGAGTTATGAATTAAACATAGGAAACATTAATTATAGGTACACTGCCACTGCCGTCTACAAGAATACACTCTTTTATGTAGAAGTGACAGATGAGATGCACATTCACCCTGGTAAGTTCAGTTGTAAACATAATTTAATTAGATATAATTTTGTGTTAGAATCATATTTTATACATGTAGAAAGAATAGTAGGCACATATCATTTCGTTGTGTTCAATAAAATAATTAGAAACAAAAGCTCATGTTTTTCATCCTTCGATTTAAACACTGTCAAATTAAAGGAGGGGGTGCTGCATCTGAAGGGGAACTGATTGAAGTGGTGGATATGAGCATCCCTGAAGTAAAAGAATACATCGATTCTGAGGAGTTACAAAGTCCCCCAAGTTTTCTATATGGTTTCACCTGGTTTCTCCTTAACAAACCTGAGCATTGTTCTTAACGTACACTTAAATCTATTTAAAAGTTGTTCAAAATAAGTATAACTGATCTGAACTCTAAATAAAAGGCTTATCATTTAACTGATTTTATTTACAAAGAACACATATGTACATAAGTGAATGTGAGAGAGGTGTATGGTTAAGACTGGATGAATTCAGATAAATTGATGTCGTGTTAATGCTCAGCCTCATCTTTTGTGAACTGGGAACTAACCCATGCAAGACCCCATTTTAAATTTGTCAAAAGAAACTTTAGTGCCTTTGTCCACTGTTCTTCCGAATTAAATTGGATTCTGAAATAAAAAATACAGAATTGATATTTAAAAAAAAATTGATTAATGCATTTATGTCATATATGTATATAAATAACAGTACTTGATGGAATAAGAGTTGCCTGTTGCAGAATCTTCTATTTTTCCACGATCCATTCTGTATGGCAGACAGAATCCACTATCCCCTTTTTCCACCTGTTCTTTAAATTGTTGCAAGCAATCTAAGAAGGCAACCATTGCTGCATCAAACTTTGTGTCCCACAGAAATTTAAATCCTCCACTTCCATACAAGGGAAGTTCTCTGTGTTGGTCTAAAGCTTCAATGTAACTATGATTACCAAATGGCACTAAACGGAATCGTTTGAATGTGAGATTCATTTTACGAGCCAAAGATGTTAACAACAATGTAGTCTGTCCCCAAGCAGCATTTATTTCACTCCAGTCAACCGGTGCACTTGGCAATCTGCCTAAACGGAAGGAATTTATAGTTCCAAAATGTCCTGAGTGCCAAATATGAAATGTAGCATTGAAAACATTTGTTTTCTTCAGTCTTTCTAGCTGAGAAGCTGCATAGGCTAATTGGCACTCCAGACTAAACAAATTGGCAATGTTAATGGGAGTACACTATAAACGATGGAACAAATGCAAACACTTTGTTGTAGTTACCTGCGATACTCATCCTCAGCTAATATGAGATCTCTTTTATGTTTGGAATACTCCTTCCAATACCTTTCTTCTTCACTTTGTAGTCTTTCCCTTTCCCTTTCTTGTTGAGCTATAGCATTTCTAGTTGCAATTTCTTCCTTCTTTAGTGCCTCTAATTCATTTATCATTCTTTCTTCCTCTGATTTAACATCCTGAAGCTCTTTTGTAAGTGTCTCCATTTCAATATCCTCGTGTCCATGTTGTTGTTGCTCTATTTCTAGTTTCTTTAAGTATTCGTTGTAGTCTGACCATTCTCCTTCTGTCATTCTCAATTGCTGATCCATTAACAACAAAAGACTATCTGTACATTCATCACAAAGTGGATGATCAGCCGAACTACTACTACTGAGAATATCAAACAATGTAGCCCGCACCTTGAAATAATGAAAAATATATTATTATTCCTAAAACTAATTTAATAAATTTCAGATACCTTCAAATGGTGGCTGAGGCTTTCTGTTTCCCCAGAATCACCAACTAACATAAATCCATTAGTTCCATTTGCAGATTCTGTTAATCTAAATGGGGGAACAAGATGTTCCATACTCCCACTTTGAGGCTCTATTTCCCCTACCACTTGTTGTTGTATGGGAACTATTAAAATTATACATGTTATTTTCATAAATGTTCCTGTAACCTCTTGATAGAGGTTATCAAATCAGTAAATTGTGTTTAATTAGTGGTATGATTTTATGGTACTAAAAATAAAACATTTGCAGAAATTACAAGAACAAAGTAATGCCATTGTATATACATCAACTGATGTTCGTAGAGTATGTTGTAATCAGTGGATGTATTCAAAGACCAGAGAGAAAGTCGAATAAAATGAAAAACTGCTTACAAAATCATATAGTTCGAAATTGAAATTACCTACGTGAAAGTTCTGCTAACGTGTGCTCCCCGAGATGATAGAAACTTGGGTCTAGTCTGAGCGGCTGCAGACATCGCTGGCATGCAAAGCTCACATTACTTTTCATATCTACCATTTTGACGTTTCGTTACTAAAAAGTAACTCAACTCGCGATGCACTTGTACCCTACGTTATTTATAAATACGCATTTGACACTTGGAAGACAGGGTCAGCTGATTTAACTTCCTGTATCTCCCACAAGACGGTGTTGGTATCACAGCGACCACCATAGAGTTGAAATAGGATAGAATATGAACTTATTTTATGAAGATTTTTATGTATGGAATCTGTATAACCGACACCATGAAGTTAGTGATTTGAGTGCCCTCTATACAGGAAAATGATAAATTTCAAAATTATGCAACGTAATTCATGCTCAATCGGTTCATTGTTAAAACTCTTTGTCTTAAATAATTTGTATATGATTCATGACTAGTCTAGACACCACCGAAAAATAGTTGGCGCCGAATAATAGTGTTTCTTAACAAATTACATCTTAAAAAATTGCTCCGAATTTGCTCCCTCGGAATCTAAAATTATTCCCAATTATCTATAATTGTTCCTAATATTCCGCGCCAACTATCCTTCGGTCTAAAAATCCCATCAGCCATCACCATTTTAATGTCAGTATCCGATAAGACACGATTAAGCATGTGGTATTATCATCGACTAGGTATAGAATAGACCTATCATCTTATAACCGGAAAATAGTTGGAGCCGAATGTTAACGTATCTTAACGATTTATATCTCAAAAAATTCTCCCAATTTGCTCCATCCGAATCTGAAATTGCTCCCCCAGCACCGTTAATAGTTAATGAGATATTCGCAAAAGAAAAAGTAACAATTTGGTGTTAACAAAATAGGTAGTAAATGACTTTTTTATACAAATATTATGGTACCAAAAAATTGCTCCTGATCTGTTTTATAATAATCAATAGTCAGATATCTCAATAACTTTGCTCGGGAGGGTACATCTCACACACACGAGGTCCCTGGCGCCTACACAGGGGGTTCTATGATCCCACGATGTCGCCAGACGGGGACTCTGGCGCCTCCACCGGGGGTTCTATGACCCCAGATCCACCACACGGGGTCTCTGGCGCCACCTACGGGGGTTCTGTGAACTCACGCCCTCAACACACGACACCTCTGGCGCCTCCACCGGGGGTTCTATGACCCCACGATCTCACCACACGAGGTCCGTGGCGCCTCCACAGGGGGTTCTATGACCCCACGTACTCACCACACGCCGTCTCCGACGTCTCCTCCGCGGGTTCTATGACCCCACGATCTCATCACACGGGGTCTCTGGCGCCACCGGAGAATAGTTGGCGTCGTATGTTAACGTATCTTAACGATTTATATCTCAAAAAATTGCTCAAGATTTGCTCTTTCCGTATATGAAATTGCTCCCATCGCACCGTTTATATTTAATGAGATATTCGCAAATAAAGCAAAAATTAGTTATCTGAAAAATAGATAAGAAATGGTCTTTTTACAACCAGATCATGGTAGCAAAAAATTGCTCCTGATCTGTTTTGTAATATTCAATGGTCTGTAGTTAAGTGAAAAAATATATACTTTTCCGTTTCATGTTTCATTACTGTCATATTTATCCCTTAATCTTAAACTGAACCGTCGGATATTTTTATTCCCGTCAAATCATATAGATACACGCAATATATAACACTTCATTTGTGCTAATAATACTCAGAATTCATGCTTTATCGATAACGTCGGGTATTAACACTAAAATGGTAAGGAGGCTTCTGACGTTCTCGAAGCATGCGACAAAAAATTACATTGCATGTTAGGTCTATTCTTATATCTGGTCTGTGGTATTATCACAGATGAGGTATAGAATAGACCTAACATGTTTCGGGGGCTCCAAAGACTCCTTCCTTCATTTATTCTTTCTCCATCTATGTAATAGGTTTTAATAATCCATCAAGAATCAATAGAAATTTTAATAAATTGAATTTCCACCCATCCTTTCAATCAAAGACATTATAAAATTTATAATAATTTTATTGATAATTTTGATTTCTAATATAACAAAGTGGTTCCGATGATTTCGTATAGAGGGCAGAATCTACTTATCCGTCAGGTGCTGCCACCTTGCATCAGTTACAACTTCATATTTTCAAGTTCATCGTCCGTTGCGTATTTAAGTAAAATCTCGTCTCATTTTCGCGGTTTAATCCTCCTGTGAATCATAATTCAATCTCGGTTACACGTGACTTACAACAAGTAATTAAATTAACCATTCGTCTTGCCTCATTTTTCAACTGCGATCTCTTATCATGATTCATTGCTTCGTATTTTCAGCGCAGCCTCAGAATCCACCGGGAAAGATTTCCGACTGTCATATATCAAACGAGAAGTCTCGATTTCCGACGAGGTATGTTCACTCAATCAGATTACTGTTTGATTGCGAAAAACGATACGAGACCGTGTCATGTCTCGTACACTCTAGTGCCTTTAATGCGCTGCGAGTTACAGGTGGTCACAAAAGCGACTGGCCACCATAACCATCAACAGTCGTACGACTTACTTAGACAGTCATTTTTACATTCTGCAAGTCCATATTTTATATCGCACGGTTTACAGTATAAACTTTATACTTTATTTGAAAATCGTTAGTTAAACGAAGTTGTCACTGGCATAATCATTTTATTTGATTATCATTCACGTCTGATACGAATAGGATTATAAAATACTATCTTGAGATATTAAGTTTCTACGGGTACTCAAACGTATGTACAAACAAACAGGAAACTGTTTAGAATATCTCCTCTTAGGTATACAATTTATGTTGAAGTACAGAAACTTTTACAGCACTCTCAGTTAATATATCAGATGTAGACTTAATAATGATCTATGAGATATTTTCACCTATCATTGCAAAACAGGTGTAGCAATCTATTGGTAAATATAATATAGACCAGACGCGTATAAATAAAGTCATCGAAGTCTGAAATCACCAAGCTACTTTTGTGACCAACTGTATGCCAGCGTCTCTCCGGAGATGTCACTTAATATTTTCCTGTACACGCGTAAATATCGGGAAGAGTAACCGGGGAATCAACAGGTAGCTTCTCTGTTCCGTTCTTTGTCCCTCTAATATAATTTAAGTTTCACAGACATTTATCATTCCGGTCCATTAACCAACGTCGTAACAATCGGCGTTTCCTAGACGCAATTACAGTAAAACTTTCGTGCATCTTTCGTGAACCGTAAACGGCGCATCTCTAATAGCACTCTCTGTTCCCTTCTTCTTACGATGCTTACTATGAATTATTATGAAACCGTTCCATTAGTTCCCGCTTCCATTGCGATCGCCTGAGCGCCGCGACGAATCGCTAACTCAGCTGTGTCAATCATTTCGGTTGCATCGGTCCTCTCTAACCATCGTACACGTTCCGTGTAATAGGTAAACCGAAGGTTACAGGAGTCTGTAACCTATATATCGTAGCCGTGTTCGGTGTACAACGTCGATAAATTTAATGAACTATATTCCCTTATCTGCTGTTCGAGTATATCGAGGGTCTATGCTAATGTGACGGTTTCAGAAAATCGGATTTTTCCTTTTTGCAATTTGCAACAATTTTTTGAAGAATAGGTGATTAGCTGTAAGTATGAAACATTTCTCTTTTTATGCTCTAAAACAGTACTTGAAAATTCGATCGCGTTTTTCTCGTGATTTCTAATCGGCGGCCATGATAACTTAAAAACTAATTGACCGATTTAGTTCAAACTTGGCATATCTGTTCGTCAGATGTGTCACTCTAGCCCGTACCACGAGTTTTTCGATGTATTATAATTTTTATTTAACTTTTTGCTTGGCAAGGCGCCATTTCTTTACTTTTCAAAATTTTTAATCATTCCAATTACAAATTACGAAAATATTTGTTTTTTTTGTTATTTCACACAACCACAAGAGTCTATACTATGGCCGCCGTGGAAAGGAAATTTCGTTAAGACGCTCTCACAAACGAATTGTAACTTTTAAAAAATACATTGTTTTTACTTCATAAAAATATAGCATACTTTACAAATATTATTTAGTAAATATATATATTATTGAAATTGATAAGTTCAATAGCTTTCTTTAAAAAATTCCTAAAATTTGCCTTATTATATGGCCGTCACACTAGCATAGCCCCTTAACCTATATACACATATTCTTCAAAATTCAAATCGTTTGTGCAAGAAGAGGTTCCCATTGCGCGATTACCGAGTGTCGTTTTCACGAAAAACCGGAACGACTCGCGGTAAATAGGTTTTCCCCGATAATCCCCTTATTACTATGCAACAACCGATACGCATCGGTCGGCCATGCGTCAACGTTTGCGCGCGTGTTGAAGCTTCGTTAGAATCGCGTTCGCCGCGCGCGTCACGAGCCATCGCGAAAATAAATGAAGTTACATAATACAATCGAATAAATGCGCATATCGATAACGTCCAGCGCGCGCGCGCGCGCGCGAGAGAGCATTTGCATGCCGCTGTTTTGCATGCCAGGCCTCTGCCATTCTCGGACTAAAAACGAACGGAGGAATAACCAATTACGCGAGGAACGCAATTACCGCTATCTCCCGAAGGAACGATCGTTAACATCGATACCGGACATCAGATCCTCTTTCGCGACTTCCCTCGATGCGGGCCGCCGTGGCAATTATCATTTGTATATCTCTGAAATCGACGACCAGTCGGACGACGCGCCTTCTAGAGCCGTCCAAGTATACTCGAAATACTCGTGTACATTTTAAATTCAAACCGTGTCAAACTGGTTTGTTTTTAACCGAACCCAGTACTCTGTTACCCAATAATCGTACTGTATAAAGTTTGACTTGAATCTTGTTAAACTGCTCGATGAATTACGAAATAGTTCGTACATTGGAATCTGACACATCGTAGAAGTTGCAAACGCTGAATAGGGCAAATATGGGCGTACCCAGGTTATGAGTCAGGGGGGCAAAGTTGATCCAAGGTAAATTTCGTAATATGTATTATTTTAAATGGATCTTAGATTTATTTTTATAGAGAAAAAATGAGTTAGTATAATAGGGGGGAGGGGACAAAATGCAATTTTTTCCTCTAGGATAGTGCAGAAGTCACGTTTTTTCCACTAGGGGGTGGGGCAAATGCCCTCCGCCTCCCCTGGCTACGCCCATGAATACAA